GGGGGGAGAAGTCTGTCTGGGGCCCGGACCACGTGGGGCCTGAGCTGCAGGCTGCTCCGGATGACCTATGACCCCACCCCCGCCTAACCCCATGCCCCGTTCTTGTCCGCCGCCAGCTGCAGAACTCCAGGACGGTGATCCAGGAGCGGGACCGCGTGATCCGGGAGCTGCAGGAGAAGGTGGCGTTCCTGGAGGCAGAGGTCAGTGCCGCCCGCCCGCCCACCCCCCCCCCCGAGACGGTGGGGGGGGCCAGAGACTGAATGAGGGGTTTTCTAACTGCTGGTTCGGGGGGGAGTTTCTTGGGTGCCGCTGGTTGCTAGGCTGCGTCACTGGAGAGCTGAGCCATCCCAGGACGAGACAGGTCAAGTGTCTTCTCAGAGATGTTGAACCCGAGCTCGGGTCACGACCATTACCTGTAAAACGCTTCGAGTGGAGCACCCTCAAAAGAGCTATAGAAGTGCAAAGTTGTTGTTATTATTGATATTATTGTGCCCTTCTCTTCTGCGAGTGTTTCATTTTGTTTCGTTCTTTTCTCCGTTCCTTCCCAACGCCCCGCAGAACCGGGAGATGCACGACCGGATGGACTTCCTGCTGTCCAGCCAGAATCCCGAGGCCCGCGCGCCGGAGCCGAGCTCTCGGATCGTGTACAGGTAGGGCGCCGGTGCTCCGCCCTGGGCGTTACTTACAGCAATGGCCATAAAGCCCAAAACCCAGCATTGCAGCCAGGTGTGCGTGGAACTGCTGGGTCTGTGGGGAAAGAAGGGAGAAGATGGTCAGGTTGTGGATATTGGTGTGGTTGAACCCCGAGACGTGTCCCGGGCTGTGGGACGCTGACCCTCTGTCCTCTGTCCACTCCCCAGCAAGCCCCTGGTGCCCAGCTCGGCCGGCAAGCCGCTGCCCCACATCAGGGTGGTGGAGATCAGGTCGTGACCCTCGGCGCCCAGCAGCCGGGGAGGGTGAGGAGGGGGCGTGGCCACGACTGGAGAAGCACGACACAGATCTCCCCCCCCCTGGGGGGGGGCGTGGAGGGCGGGGCAGGGGGCGGAGGAGAGACCGAAGGATCCGCAGAAGGGGGGGATCTGGGATTTCCAGAAGAGACGGACAGGGTGGGCGTGTCCCTCTCCAAGGGGGGACCCCTCATCTCCCCCCCAACTAAGGTCTGACCCCAGACACGACGGCTCCCTTTTTATTCGCCACCCCGGGGTGCCCGGTTTGTGACGCAGGCCAGCGTCTGAGCGTCCTCTTTGAGCTGGGCGCGCGAGTATCCGAAGGGCCTTGCCCGGGACAATATCCACAACACGTCGTCGGCGCTCTGGTGTCACTTTTGAATAATGGTTTCTGTGCGTCTAGCGCAGTTCTCTAGGCCTGAGCCGGATCCCTCGGTCAGTTGTCGTTTTGATCGCGTGCTGAACGCCCGCAGGCCGGAGTGTAAGTCAGGGGCTTTCATCGCAGTCACGGCCGCTAATTCATCACTTCCTTCCTTAAAGTGGGGCTCGTGTGGCGTTTCCAGCCAGGAGCTCTCTGGTCTGATTACCATCGCTGAGCCGCAGGCGCTGCCTCGGTTCTGACCCAGTTCTGAGTTCTGTGGGACTGTGGGACTCCCTCTTTTTCAGGTTTCATTCCTGCCCAGCTCCCAGTTACTTAATGAAACCAGTCCATGGCTTTATTGGGCCAGATCAAGGTGACT